CTGATTTGTCCGTGTGAAATTTGCCATTTTGGTGTCGGAATGTTCTGAAGATATGTGGCTTGTGATAAATGGGTCCAATATTTGCTTCCGTGACTATAGGGCGAAAGAATCGGCCATAATCTGTAATCACGTTCATTTCTCCCACTGAAGTCAATGGACACAGACCTGCTGTTAGTCTCCTAAAGGGGCGTGGTGCTCGCGAACCCCACGTGACACTGATACAGGAAACTGACTCGCAGTGGACTGTCTTGGTTTACTCGCTGTCTTTGAATAAAGCCAATGCTGAGGTGCCGAAAACTGCACTTCCTCTAATGGCCACTTGGCTGGCTTCAGGAGCAAGTCAATCCCCATAGACCTCCATGTTAAAATGTCCAGCCTCACATCAGAAATAAAAATGTTTACAGCCTGGTACAAAAAAAGGTGATGGTCTCTACATCTACTTTTCATCTAACTGACCCATTTACATTTTATTAGGCTTAAAGTTATGCATTTTTAAGGGTGGGGCCTCTTGAGTGACGGGCTACCTACCCAGTGTCACCACAGTTAAAGAGTCAGATCCACCCCTCGCTTATCTAAAGAGCCAGCTTCTCATCCAAATACCATTACTTCTGGCTCCACAAAACCAAGACGGCAATGGCCAAAATGCTGAACTCAAGGCTTCAGAGCCCTCAGTGCAGCTACAAGGACAGGATCCCTCACCTGTCTCCCACCCACAACCATGTCAATAATCTGGAAACACTGTCCTGTGGACTGAACCCAGGTTTGGAACATTTCTGATTAGTCCCATTCTATGTTGAATTCCTCCAGTATATCCTATATAAATACACTTAATTGCCAGTATATTAGGTACACCTAGCTGAAACTAATGTGGTCAAATGTAACAGCCCTGCAATAAACCCTATCTTCATAAAGGTTAGGTTCAGTTTTTGTTTTAGAGAGGTGTTGATTAACTTTCTGATCACTCTGGAGGAAGTAGTTTGTGGTGCTACTGAACTGCATTGTGATATACAGAAAGGTGTTTCTGGTATTTATAGACATGAAACGTGGGAAAGGAAAAAGGGGAATGACATCCAACACTAGCCAGTGCAGTTACACCTGCCCTCTAGGCCAAAACGACTTTTGAATATAGTTATGCAAACAATCAGCACACATACATAAGCAAAACCCTTATTCTTCTTAGATAAAAATATCTCACATAACTTCCTGAATGAACACTAAACATCAATAACCCAGATCCCTAAATATCCTCGTCAGTTTCCTCTGGGATTGTATTCCTGTCCGACGTACACCCGTCATCTCACTCACACACTCGCAGCACCTTCAGTGATCAATGCAGCCTGACTCAGCAGACTGGCTGGGGGTGTCCAGGTCAGAGATTCCCGTGAAACTTCTACTATGTCATCATCACTGAAAGTGAGACACAGCAAATCATTCGGACCGTAGTAACAACAGGCTGACACGGATATCATCACTGACAGTGACACGGTTACCTCACAGGGCCCTGAGAGCATCCAGGCACCCCCGGGGAACTGCTAACTAGTTAAAACATCAGCATCCTGATGTTGTTTTGCAGGTTATGGTTTCAAGTGCTAAGGCTTGTTGAAAAGATGGCACGATTACAATTGCACCAGTCCTGTTCTCTACAGAATACATGTTTTTATTGTTTAATTGCTCCACCACCAAAATTCTTAGAAACTCAGCTGCTGTCCAGATTATGTACGGTCGCAACTTTTTTTCTCCAGTTCAGGAGGTGTGGCGCTCATGTATAGAACAAATGTCATTAAAAGAAAGTTGAAGTGGATGTTTGGGTGCACGAAGCTCAAAACTTTGACACCTGAGGTTTACATCCTATATGTCATAACCCTGATTACTCGATCTTATCCAGGGGTCCGTCCCAATACTCACACTTCCACTCAAAATTGGCCCTAGCCCTTGTTTTTGCACGTTCCCGCGAAGGGCTAGGGTGTCCCAAACTTTAGGGAAGTGCTTTTCAGCCCTTAAAATCCCCACTTTATTCAAAGGACCGTGTGATGCGATTGCAACTGAATTTCCCAGGATGCATTGCAAAACTATCCAGCCAGGCGAGTTTTCCAGAAAGATGGCAGCCTCCATGAGAAAGTCAATCGCAAATAAGCATGCAAAAATTCCAAAATATGTCAGAATGTGTTATGTTTCTGCAGCGTTGAGTTAGAATATGAATGCTTGAAAATCGCTAATTCACAATGTAGCTGACGTGAACATCTACAGAGTTCTCTGTGCAGGAAGCCTAGTCGCCGATATGTGTGACATAGGTGAACACTTCTGTTACGCTAATTTGCATGAAGTGGCGTCTCAGTTCGTAGATAAAATTCCCTACCCCTCAACACTACCACTTCATCGTTGAGGGGAATCTATCTGGCGAGTGCACTTGAAACCAAGGGGTAAGGTTAAGGGAAGAGAATTGAGATTGGCCCCAAAATTGTCTCATATTATATTTGTACATATGTAAGAGCACACACAATAAAAATGATGACATGAACCGGTACCACAGCTTGTAGTTGCACAATAGTTTGGCGGACAAATTACACCCAATGTGACTTATGAAGTAGCAGCACGTGTACAAGGGTCCTGACACACCAAGCTGATGGTTGGGCCATTGGTTAATGTCGAGCTGTCGGTGAGTGTGTCTCTATTTTTGCAGTCCACACCACTGGCACTTGTCAGCTCTTGTCGGCTTTTTTTCAGCCGATGCAGCTGCGGACCCGGCAGAGCCTGTCGGTGGGTGCAATTACTCTGATTGGCAGTTGGGGTCAGTGCACGAGAAGAGAAACTGAAGTGAGGAAAGCAAACAACTAAAATCAAGAGGGTATGAGATCAAAACAAAGTTGTTATATTAGGTAAGATTTTCTTTTAGCCATTGAGCTCTGTGGTTGTTTGCGTTAGGCTACTATTTATGAGAGCATGGTAAATATAATTTGTTCTTTTGACATCTTTTAATGTGCTAACTGGCTAACTAGCGTCTTAAACCCGTCCCGTCAGCCTTCTGGTTTCTTGTTTTTTAATTACAAATACAGACTACCGCCACCTGCTAGTATGGAGAGTAACATTCCTCTCACGCTGGCGCAGAACATATGTGGCTAGCTGGTCACTGGATGTACTTTTTGCAGTGTGTTCAAGTGCAAAATTTTGGCCAAGACATAAAGGAGAGGCGACACATGCCACTAGTTCTTTGATGTTGGTGTGGTGTGTCTTGGCCTTAAAAGTCCTCATGTCACATGTTAAGATTACAGCTTAATGCTAAAGCCACTACAGATGTAGTTCTGCAGTAAACACTCAGCACCAGCAACAGAAAATCACCAGTCAATCAGACAGTCAACAGTTAATTTAACTTCTGATGTGTCTTAAGGCTGGAGTTCACCTCTCCAGGGAAGATTTTAATACTTCATGTGCTATTCAGTGATTTGGATCCCAGTCTCAGCATGTGTGATCTCTCTCTCACTGGAACAGTATCAATAATAGAAGTAAATATGACTATTAGTGGGCCCTGTGAGTGCAGGTTTGAAAACGTCCCTTCAGAAATGTCACATCATGGACACTTTGTCCACAGTTTATGTTGTTAAAAGACATCAGAGGGCAACAGCACTGCAGGATGGATGTTTCAGTTTGTTTGGCCGAGGATTTGGGATAAACTCCTGCGTTATTCTGACAGTGGGGGGTGACAGGGCAGCCTGCTGGCTTGTGTCTGCCTCCTCAGCCTGCCTCTTCTCTGCTTGTGTTAATGAAGGACAGCATGACCTCTCGCTCGGGCCATGATGGGCCCAGCCAGCTCATTAGTCTTTATCTGAGTCCAGCCATGACCCAACAGCACTGTAGTTACCTACTGTTTGCTTGCAGTGTTTGTTCACGCAAGGTCAAATATAGATAAAGGCCACGTTTTTTTTTTTTTGAACAGATTGCCACCTAAAAATTTTTTTTAAGATTTTTTTTTATTTAAAAGACGAAGCTAATCCGGATTTTAATCAGAGCTGTACGCCTCTACAGACCCACAAGTTTTCACATTTCCTGCTGCAAAAAAACAACTGTTTTTGCAGTGTGCAGTGGAAAAAGGTCACGCTGTGGTGAGGACGGATCAGGAAAGGCTTCCAGTATAAGAAAGTGAACAGAAAAATGCAAATGAGCTGCTGATTATGGAGCAAAATCCCCCTTCATTTAAAAAAAATACTTAAAAATAAAAATGTGCAAAACTGAATCTGATCTCTGCTCACATATTTGTTTTATTCACAGCAATATTTGTTTCAGTGGGAGCAGGACAGTCACACAACTACGGATAATTTGCACCTGCACATCTCTTGCTGTGTTCCAGTCTCACAGGAGTAGCATCTGTGTTGAGCTGTTATGATTCAATCACCTCACACAGCAAACACATTAAGCCCTGCATTTAGTCGTCACAGCAGACGCATGTATACCATCGCCTGTCTTTTTCCCCATCTCTTCCCAATGATGCACACGTTTATGCTCCCACTGAGAGATTACAAGGCTGCACGCAGTCATTCATTCATCAGCTTTGCCCTCCTGCAAGGACAGGACCGGGACAAGGATCAGGACCTCACCCCCACCCCTCCCGACCCTCCATCATCTGCTGTATGAAAACAAACTCTGAAAACACAAAATTGTCCCAACAGTGCATCTCCTGCATCGACACAGCTGTCACACCATAACATAAAGTGTGATGTGTGTTCTCCTCTGTGGCTTCTCTGCTCCTATTTTTGGTCAAACTAAAGCATCAACCTCTGCTGCACGCTCTACCTCTCCTCTGAAGACACAAACATACACACCGCCACATGCATCCGCTCTCCTTCAAGGGCATGCCTGTCCTGAGCTTTAAGATGCAAGAGGACGACATATAGCGAGAAAGAGGCATGTTAGCAGCTCCCACACTCACAAGGTCACACACACAGCCATGTTGCTGCATGCCGGTAAAAATAAAACACGCAGAGAAGAAGGAGAGAGAGATGCCCTACCATTTCTCCCACTGGTCCTCCATCCACCCCTCTTCTCCTTCCCCTCCCGAGTCCATACTGTAAGTGAGGAGGGCATCCACAGCTGAGAGGAGAGGAGGAGGAGGAGAAAGGAGCAAGGGGGTTAAAGTGAAGAAAGGTGGGAGGGCGGAAGAGAGAGGGAGGAGCGAGTAGGAAGAGAGGGAGGAGGGGTGCAGCTCCTCCGGGTTGATGGGAGAGGCGTCCGACTCAGAGCCCTGCCGCTGCCGCTCAGCCGGAGGAGAGACAGAGATAGAGGGGGGAATTATTTAAAGCTGAGGAGCTGAATCTGCCACAGAGGAGCAGTGTTATATAATCTACTCCTCTCCCTCTCTTCCTCTCTCTGGTGTTTACTCTGTCCTGTGTGCATCCGATTTACTACGCCACTGCAGGAAAGTGCTGGTGTTAGCAGGACATCCAACGCCACGGTGAGCCCAAACAGGAGAAGCACCAGCACGGGAGGACGCTCCTCTCTCTCTCTCGCTCGCTCTCTCTCTCTCTCTCTGCACAACGCTGCCGCGCTCAATTATTCATGAGGCCCCGTTGATCACAAGACTCCACATTTTCCCTTCTCTCTCTTCCTCTCCATTCATCCTCTTAAAGAAAAATGAATCACAACTTGAGTCCTATTTTTGCAGTTTTGGCCCCATCAGTTAGGAAAGTATTGCACTTTCCCAAAGATCTGGCAACACACTGATAAAGCGATGCCTCACAGGGCAAACAGCACCAGCAGTCGGATGACCTGACAGGTTGTTAAGGAGCCAACAGTTAATCCAGGTTATCTAAACTACTTATTTTGAAGTCAAACTGAAATAAATCCACCCGAAATGTGATCATCCCTCATTATAAAAGGGAAATTAAAAGCTCACACCTTTGATAACTGCAGTGACAAGTTGAATCAAAAGGCTGGTGTGTAAACTGTGATGGATGTTTACATGTTAACATACACTTTTGATAATAATTTTACCGTTATAATTCAAACAGGACATTGTGTCTCTTGCCTCGAGGCATCAGGTTGCAATAATGTTATTATTGCCAAAAGAAATGATGCCAAACGTATAAAAATAAGGCAAAAATTGTAACAAACTGATGCTATCCTTTAGCTCGTGCTGGTCTTTGTTTGGGCAGGTGCTTGAGCTTCCTCTAAAAATCAATGTGTCTTTATGGAGATCTACACACAGCTATGCACTGTGAACAGTACAGTCCATTAACCCTTCCAACCCTGCTGACCTTAAAACCTCCTGCTAGCATCTTATAGGCCAAAGCATGCACTGTATGTGGGTAGTAACACTGTAAATACTGTGGGAGCATGGTGCTAATTTTAGCCTCCAAAGGCTTCAGTAAATATGTCAAGCGAGGAGGTTTACTTCAGTTTGCCTCTGCTGATGCAGCTGAGAGAGAGATTACACTAATAACATAACAAGGGCTGCCCCCTGAATGTACTTGTGTATCAGTCTGTGTCCCCTCTCAAAATCTGGAGGTTTCTGGAAGTCCGTGAATGCAGCTCAGGCTGAGCTCCTCATGATTTCATCTCATTTTTGTTCCTCAGCAGCTGTCTGTGGAGTTTTGAGTCACAGGGTGGATAACCCAGTCGATCCAATCAGAGCTGATCAGATCAGATGGATGAGAGGAGCAGCTGCTGCAGAGGCAAAGTTTTCGACTCGGCGTAATGAACACTCAAGTTTCATTTGTTGTTCTGCTGCTCCGTCTGTACCAAGACTATGCTCTGTGCTGCAAATGTGGAGCAATGGATAACCGAGCAGCAGACATATTAATCACTGTGGGCTGCCAATGGCGGGTAAAACAAAAACACACACCCTCCAGTGGCCGATAGAAATTTTTGAATTGCATGTGGGGTTTTTATGTGCTTTGACCATTTCTGCCAGCTGTGTCAGACTATTTTAACCCTTGCGGCTTATTGTACGTGTACCAGGAAGACATGACATCAGCTACCGGAACATGTTTCCCGGGGATTCTATGGTAACTTCTGAGCAAGATGTGGCGATACATTCCTGCCGTGAAGCCACCGCCAGAAAAGAAGAAAAAACGAAGATGAACATGTTGGACTTGGACAAGAAGAACAGACGGTTAAACGGAGTAAAAATGTCGCACAGCGTTTTATTGAAAAATGGAAACTAGACCACAGTCATGGCTGACCTACAACCCCCACACCAACATGATGAGCTGTAGCCTTTGCCGCAAGCACGCCAAAGAAACACAGAGGACAGGGTTGGATTTTCCTAAAGTTGGATTTTCATACTAATAAGGTCACTAGCCAATGGCAGATGGGGTAAAAGCTAATTTTACACCCTGCGTGGGGAAACCCTGCACAGAAGATCCTGCTGAACCCTGTTCAAACCCTCAAACTCTATATGGAAAAAATGGATGAATAGTTAAATATCTGTACTGAACAGCCAAATCTGATTTAACTTATATAATTCTGAGTAGGGTAGAGCCCCAAACATTAACACTGGAATTTAATGAGCATGCACAAATCCAGTGGTCCTGGTCCAGCCACAGGGTCCAGATTTCTTCTTCTTCATTCGTTCAAGGTCCACAAAGTTAAATACATTCTGTGTCATACTTGCATTTAACCATGTTGTTGAGTTGGCTTGCTGTCTCTGTCAAGTATCTGTCCATTAGTCACTCACTCTACAACAGGACACTTTAAAATGAAAGCTCTGTGCTGGAAACTTACTGTACTTCAGAATAAAGTGTGTTTTTTACTTGACAAGTTTGCGAGTCACCTACAGTCCATTGAGAGTGGACCCGCGACCCAACTCTGCAGTTCAGCCTAATGGAGCATTTGAATGTCCGATAGGCATGGAAGCATTACTGAGCGAGCCTGCTGGGCACAGGCCCTGGGGCTCAAAGTGTAAGAGGGGCCCCATGACCCTCACCTAAAAAATGTCACTCAAATTAACATGTACTAACCAGGAAGAGACTCAAAGAGACCACAAAGAGATGCAAAGGAACTGCAAAGAGACTCAAAATGACCACAAAGATGCACAACATTGACACAAAAAGAGGCTTAACAACTAAAGTGTGTGTGTCTTGCTCCTATGTAAGAGAGGAGGGGGAGCCTTTTGCATATCTGTGCCCAAGAGCCCATTGTTTGATAATTTGCCCATGCCTGTGGGAAATTGTTTCTGTTTTCTGGCCTGCTCTTATCATCCTCACTTCCAGCAGCAGCAGGCTTCTGTTTTCAGCAAACAAGCTCTGACAAACACATTGAACGCTACCTGCCCAGCTCTAAATGGAAGGCAGACATTGTTATTGACTTGCTGGTGCAAAAAAAGAGGATCATTAAGCAGCCAAAGGGGCAGGATATTTTTTCCAGGAGGTGGAGAAGACCAAAATAGAGCTAAAAAAGGAGATGATATTGGACTTACATTCATCAGGCAGACAAGAAAATGTGTTGCTATATAGCTCTGTGTGTGCTGCACATGTAAACAATCACTTGTTTACTACTGTGTCAGCTACAACAACTTAATGACATGTCAGTGTATCAGCTGACTGCCTTGTCATTATGTTCCTCTGCCCCCTAGTGGCCAGAGAGCAACAAATGCAGCTCCAATGGCAGCAAAAGCAATTGAATCAGCCATGCATTCATATTTGCAAAATCCACTACAACTCAACACAGGTGCACAGGCAAAAGTCAAAGTTGTGCCACAGCAAACAAAAACCCATGCTTCAAACATTCCTTAAGAGAGGTCAAACACACTAAGTCCTTGTTCTTCTGCACACTGGGCTGCCAACACACAGCCATATGGCCATACAGCATGACCTCGGCAACCGGCCAGAACCTATGGAGCTCAAACACACACACACACACACACACACACACACACACACACACACACACACACCAGAGGAGCTTCAACACCTCCCCCTGCACGTGACATGAGGAAAAAGATGCACAGAACACATGCGAAGTGTTGTGTATCTGAGAAAGAGTTAGAAATATTTGTTTGTCTTGAGAGACAGAAGAAAGACAGAAAGGTATCTCAGGATTATGTGTGACATTTAATCCCTGTGCGGCTCATCGAGGGTCGAGGCAATTATATTATTATTATCTGTATGATATGACGTCTCCTTTTAACCTCATTTGTTACTGTTATTATTTTCTATTAATGCTGTTAATGCAGGCTCAATACGTCCTCCATCTCTTCCTTTATCTGTTGTCTTAATGAATTCATGAGAATGTGTATTTCCACAGCACTCATTTAATTTGCCGGTGAGCTACTGACAATGTAAGTCGACACTTCCTGCACAGATGTTCCACTTTACAGCTTTGTAGCAGCTGGTTTGGCACATGGGTTATTGTCTTTTGAAAAAATGGAAAGATACACTCAGTCATTTATACATCACTATGCAAAATGTGAGGAGAGATTAGTTCATCTTTAACAGCGACCCAGTAAATTAAAATGAGAGCAGATCAGAACACAGGGAGGTGTCTTTTACTAAAATAAATATCTTGTAAAAACAAGAAAAAACTCGGAATACAGGCACGCGTGTAAAATAAGCTTGTTTTAAAGATGCTGTTAATATCATAATTATGTGTTGACAGAGAGGGGAGAAGGAGAGATGCACTGTATAAGCAGAGGGGAGGTGCCATCAGGTGGAGCGTGCCGTGTCAGCAGAACCGAGCGACAGCAGTAAATAATGAGCGCAGGGGCGAAACTGCAACCAGAGCAATAATTGTCCACTCTGTCAGCTCCTACTGTGGGGGAAATTCAAATCAGCGCCATTTAAATTCTCTTTCTCTGAGGATAAAATGCAGCTAAAAAAACTACAAGGTAATTCTGTTGGAAATCATGCTTTTTTTTCCTCCCCAGACATCCCCAAACATCACAGACCTTAAAAGACAGACGCAGTGAATCAGGGAAAGTGACACGTCCAAATCTGCTTAACCTCCCCCATCTACCCCTGCCCTTTCTCTCCCTCTTCTCACTCACATCCTTTTCACATCCCTCGCTCTGTGAATTCATCCGCCTGAGCAGATCTTGTCAGCAGAGTCACGTCAGTTCGGAAGCCGCAGTAAAAAGATGAAAGAAAAGAAAATGGGTATGCGACTGAATTAGTGAGTGTGTGAGAAAGAAGGAGAGAGCGTGGACACTTCTGCGCTTTCGTGCTGAATATTCAGTGATGTGTACATTTTAACACATACGCCCAATAAGTCAAATTTATTTACATGATGTGTTTTCAAAATAAAAAGGTAAAAAAACATAAACTTCAGCCGATGCTCAAAATGACACTCCTCTGCTACTCAAAAACAGCAGGAACATGAAATGATAAACCATAATTGTCATTTTAAAATCAGATACATATTGAACTGCACATGAGAGGGATTAGTGTTGCCTCAAGAGGGATCTCTGGTTTCATTTTTCCCCATAATGCACTGCAGGA